CATATAACAAATAAAGGCAGAATGGCCTATGTGGCACATATACTTATCCCACTTTGTCATGCCAGTCCCCAAACTTAACAATTTGTCAATTGAACACTTACACTCCTTCAAACCGTGTATAATAAACGCTTATGACACGACGCTATCAGTGCGTGTAATACAATCTCCTACACGTAGGACGCCACGTCAAGAAATTAAACCTCTATGGTCATTTATTATGGCCATAGAGGAAAATAAAATAGGAAATAATTATTAACCTCCAACCCAAATTTTCCCCTCATTTTACACTTATTCGCTTAGGTTTAGTCCCTGATGAAGGCGGCGACTTGGGTCGGCGGCGGGAGGTTGTCGGCGACGGTTCCGTAGTTCACAATCAAAATCAAATAGAACACTCATCTAAATTAAACGGATCTCAAAACGTTGAGATGGAGTAGGGATTTATACAAAATTCAATTAAAAATTTAGGAATTGTGACCCTCCTCTGCATCGGCTGCTTCGAAGGTTTGGCAAGCCACGAGTTCCGGCACCTTATCATCTGCAGCAACACCTTCAGGCGCCCCGGTAGCTGGGGCAGCAATAGGTGCTTGCTTGTGGAACTGCTCTGCTAGCTTCTTCAAATTCTCCAAATTATCAGGGCCCAACTAATTAATATTGAGGAAGAATATCCTGCAACTTCTTGGTCGGAGGGGAAAATACGCTTTGGGTATTAAATCAAAATAAGGAGAAAGAGAAAGGTGGGCATGAGGAAGAACAGATCCACCCATTTGCTTCAGTTATTTGGATCCACTCGTTTGCTTTTTTCTTTTTTTACTTATTTTATTTTTTATTCTTATTTTACTGATTTTTTCTTCTTATTTTAATTATTTCTGGTTTCAAAATTGTCTCAAACTTCACGTCTCATTATCCGTCATGAACTACACCACTTTGTCCAGCTCAACCATTATTTTGCCACATGTGCTTGGTCAACGGTCAGAGGGGTTTAAATAATAGATTTTGATCAAGTTAAAGTGTCTGGATGAAAACAAGTGAAGTTTGGGGACCGACATGACAAAGTGGGATAAGTATAGGTGCCATTTCTTGGCATGATTTATCCTAACTGTACTCTGCATTGCAATACACATAATTATTGAAGGTCCATTTAATTCGACCGAGTCTTATTGGCCCTACACTCGCTACTCTAATGTGTACTTGCTGGTGTTTTCTGCTGCCTAATTAATACCATGCCCCATCGGTTACAGTTCTTTTCTTTTTTTTTTTTTTAAACGAAACTACGTATTACCTAAACTACTGCTGNAGTTTATTTTTCAATCAACTGGCCTAGTTTGAACCTAGCCCGAATTCTTTCTTTATTTTAGCTTTAAAATTTCTAGTTTGTGCTCAAGGACCGTCAAAAATGAGATAGGTGAACAAGTTTAGGGAGCAAACTCTTAGCTGAAAATTTAATTTATGTGTGGCTCCATCATGTAAAATTCTCGATCGAAATCAACAAAAAACAACTTTTGTAGATTATACTTCAATTAATATGACTATCATTGCTGTTTTGAAACCACATATATGTACTTTGTAAATATATACGCGTAGCGTGTAAAAGCATTAATTTGGCATCTAACGTTCTTTCAATGACTATGAGTTTATGATTATACTATCTAAGTAATGTAAGAGTACGTGTAAAAACATTAAATTGGCATCTAATATTTTAGGTTTGACTTTTGTTTTAAGCAGGCTTTTCAAGAGGAGCATGTGAGTATTTTGACTACACTGTTTGAAACCAAATAAAGATTGGTTCAGTATGATGACCTAAATATAAAATCTCCAGTAGGAGGTCACCGTTAACCTACCCTATTACAACTCCACCAAACTCTTCTCATCCATCTGCCTGCCAGACCGCCCAAAACCAAAAAAGACAGTTTGTTGCACAATGTATCTCACGTTCACGTAAGGTTTAGAGAAGGATCGCACCCCAAATAATATAATGTAGACAGCCTATCCTAGTACAAGAATTAATGATTGCTTTCACGGCTCGAACATGTAACCTATAGATCATACGAAAATAATTGCTTCATAGCTTCCCTTCTGACCCTCGAAAATAAGAAGAACGAAAAAAAATGGAGGATAACTTTTATATGGTGAAAAGAATAAAAAATTATCGAATTTTATTAGTAAGTTCAATGATCATAAGTCAAATTCTCAAGAGTGACATGGCATAGATAGTTTGGCATTTTTCAAGTATCTTGATATTTTGAGCAAATATAGAAAAACTTCAGTTGTTTTTAGTTGACAAATATTAGTCTGGTGATTTTATTGCAAGGAAAAAAAAATCGAAAGTTGAATGATTATTTTGAAAATTAGCTTTTTTCAAATAAATCGAAAAGGAAGTGCACATTAGTTGAAAAGACAAATATGTATAATCAAGTATAATGATTTCTATCTTCGGCTACAGTTATTGTTGTCGTGAGAAACAAATACTAATAAATTTGGTGCATTTATATCCTCAAGTTTTTTCTAACAACAATGAGCTAATATAAGTTTAATAAAGGAGTGAAGAAAAATTATTGGTGGGTGGACACGTAGTGATCTATACCAAAAGAAGATGGTAGTATATTTGGTGAGGTCGATACAACAGTTTGCAATAGATTTCAAGTGTGTGATGATACAAATTACATGCCAATACATGATTAATTGGGATGGTTATTCATTTTTTTTTTCCAGTTTCCAGCTAGCAATTACAGATTCCTTAAAAAAAAAAGAATTTTAAAAGAATAGCTTATTTTTACAAATAAGAAGATTAAATAATGCTCATAAAAGTAAGTAACCAAAAAAGTTTCTTGGCGTACAAGGATTTAAGTGAACTTAACTAAAATCATCCAACTCCAGGCTCTACTTTCCATTCTTGGAAGAGAAAAGATGTTTTTAGGCTTAAAATGAACTAAAAGTAATTGTGGAGAGTCCCACATCGGCGGTGAAGGGAATTATGGTGGTTTTGGGCCATCCTCATATCATGAGCTAGCTTCTGGGGTTAAGTTAAGTCTAACGTTTTGTTCTTTAACATGGTATCACGACCCATCCCAACCCGATATTAGGCCTCCATATTATATTGCCCACGCTCCAGATGTCCGGTCGTGGGGTTGGAAGGGAGGAGGGGAGTAGGTTGTAAAGAGTCTCGTGTCGTTGGTTATTCTCATCTCTTGAGCTAATTTTTGTGATTGAGTTAGGCACAAGGTTCATTTCTTTAACATGGTATCATAGCAGGACCCGTTCCAAGTTCCAACCCAATGTTAAGTTGGGTCTCTATATATTATGTTGTCCACGCCCCAGAGGTCCAGTTTTAAGCGTGAAAGAGGACGTTGCAAAGAGTCCCACGTTGTTGCTTATCCTCAACTTTTGAGTTAATTTTATGATTGATTTAGGCCTAAGATCGCTAAAGTCATAATGTGTCATGATCTTGGAAGGGAAATTGGGTAAAGATATGTTGTGAACAGAGAGCACTGCCCCCATCCCCACATTGCTTTCCCCAATCCCAATTGTTGGGCCAATAATATGAAACCTTTGACAGCTTATTGACACTTGGAATTCATATATAGTTTGTTGATTGCTACCTTGGGCCTCAGCTGGTCATGTTTCCATTCATGACAAGTAGAAATTGTAAGATTCATTCAACCAATTTTGTTGCATGAAAATTTTGTGTGCACATTGAAAATCTTAGTATCTGTTGGTAAGCATGGTTGTTGTCGGTTGCCTTAATTGGTCAGCTAATGATAAAAACTTGAAGCTGACTTTGCTATTCTTTTCCTTATATAGAAATCTTATTCTGTTGGCCTTTCAAGATAACGATAATAAGAAAGGTATATATGTTACTAGTTTTAGTTATGAATACTAATTAGTTCTTTGGTTTTGAAACCAGCTCAATTGTAAGGCTTCAAGTACTAACATAATTTTGAAACGAAAAAACAGCTCAATTGTATGCAAATTAGTATTGTCTTTTCTTTTTCGTGGTGTGGGTTGGAGGGTAGAAAGGGAATGAAAAAGACCCTTTATGAGATTTGAACCATAGTAGAAACGTAATAAGTAATACGTTATTCTCCCTTACGTCTCAAAATTTATTAAGTTCTATCACATGAGACAACTAATGAGGGAGAATATTTTTGCATCACTCTGGACAAATTTCATTAAACCTATTACTGCAAACAACTTAAGTTATACATACTGCCAGTATAAGAAATGTTCACACCATCAAAATACTCTTACCTATTATAACATACTGACAGGTAGATTGTTTTATTTTCAAATTTACAAATTTTACATTCTAAAGAGGTTTAGTGATACTTTTAAATATCCGATGATGTAAAAAATTTCACTAAACTGACATGTTTACATAACTTAAACTTAATTAAAAATTATAAATCTCTTTGTCATTTGGATTACACAAACAAAAAACGTTGCTTCAATTGGACACGTGTAATAGCAAAACCGAAGTCTACTTTGTCAAAGTAAAGTTATTGTTTGGCATGACTGGTCGAATCATAATGTAAGAAATTATTCAAAATTCATATGCTTATTCATTAAATTCCAGAAAGGGTCCTCCAATTTATTGAATTTTTATGTGTGTTTGTTGAATTTATTACTAGCAAATGCAGTGCTTTCCATTTCCGAACATATAACAACGTGTCGCAATATCTGTAGCCTTGTACATCCAGCGTATGAATTATAGTATTAAATATATTTTAGATAATAACAGAACATCCCCTGGATGATTACATGTGTGTTTATTCTCATCTCACAATTGGAGTTTGGGAGATAGCATGCACAAATGATTCACCTGAGTACGATTTTCAGAATATCCAATTGAGATAATTAATTATTATTAATTAGAATAATTGAATGCATCATGTTGGATTGTCGGTTATTCTCATATTAACTATTTATTAAAGAATGGTGAGATTGATATTAAACAAATCTACTCAAGTAACAACCTTGCAACTCGCTCAACGAAGTTCCTTTTTTTTTTTTTTCTTGGGTGCGAGAAAATACAAATCATATTAGACCCTATAAAATAAAACAAAAGGTTTAGATAAAAATTCAATTTGGTTGATGGAATTTTTTTGTGGAATTGTCCGCCTTGGCGTAACTGATAAAGTTGTTGCCATGTGATCAGGAGGTCACGGGTTCGATCCGTGAAAACAACCTCTTTGTAAAAATGCAGGATAAAGCTGCGTACAATAGACCTTTGTGGTCCAGCACTTCCCCGGACCTCGCCAATAGCGGAAGCTCAGTGCACCGGGCTGCCCTTTTTTCACAAAGTACAAACTATATTCAGAACAATGATAAGAACTAAATAAACAAATAAATAAATAAAGGTTATCTAGGGTCACACATGAATCAACTTCACTAATTGGTTTAAAATTAACAAAACTCCTATCACGTTCTGGATCAAGAAAACAAAACTCCTATCATGTTACATACCTCAGTATTTGCATCAAAGGCAAGGTGCCTGCTAGGTGCATCCACTAAGACAATCTTTACAGCTTTACAGTCCACAGCATGTCAGCAGTTCTTCAAGTTGACTATTACATCTAATCTACAATGAAATATACATCAAGAAACCTTCTCCTTTGGTGAAGGAGACGGTTCCGATTCAACTGATGCAGGTGGATCCAAGCTCATCTGATCTGTTGGAGGTGGTACAGATTTAGCTTCATCAGTTTCTTGTTGATCCGAGTCCATTGTTTCTTTCAAAAGCATACAAGGCTCAACATGATCACTTGATTGTACAGCAAGACGAGTAGGATTCTCTCGGTCATTTAAAGACGTGGAAGGTGTTGGGTTAGTTATTGGTGTCTGTGGAACTGTTCTTTGAGTCGTAGGGACATCAGTATCCATCTTATCTGTAGCCAGAACAGATGTAGTAGTTGCAACATTGGACTGTTCAAAATTCATTTCAGTTGATGTGATGGTCGCGACATTGTTTTGTTCAACACTCGTGTCGTCATATTCTGAGATGAGATCCATGAACTCGTTGAGCAGCCGCTGTACTTTCCTATTTGATGCCATTGCTGGAAGTATGTCTTCTCTAAGGAGCCTATGCTTTTTCAAACCCTGAAAACCAGATAAAGAACCTTAATAAGAAAGACAATACTTGGGTTTCATTTGGTAACTGGATAGATTCTATTGGAATCTCACTTTTAAAAAAGATAGCAAGAATGAGCCAAAACATGAATAGACGAGAGAATATATGCATGGAGTATAAACATTGCCAAGGTATATTACAAGATGCTGTATGAAGATGTACAGCACACACAGAGGCACCAAGAAAACGAGATGTTATAGATAAATTCCGAGAGTTTCATTTTATGCAAAGAGATTGACATAGTTCCGAGGAAGATATTAACAATCAAATTGTCACTCTGTAGTTTTATGAATCCTACTTTCTAGCTTGAGCCATTCTGAAAAGATTGACATAGTTCGCTGGATGTGGAAAATAAGATGGACATTGCAGAAAGTAAAACCACATGCATAATTTAAATGTCATTTCATATTTCAGTATATCTTTTTTTTTTAACATGTTGCAATTATATCCAAAGAAACCATGCTAAGCCCAATCTTAAGAGGTATTCTATCTTGTAATCTGAACACATTTCACCAAAATGATCATAGTTTCTACAAAAACAGAAAACTCCTCCCAGAATATTGGGGAAAATGAAGAAATGATGGTCAAGGGCAATGTGGTCAGTGACGGCGAACTTGGTTAGGGAGGCAGCGCGGGATGTGCTCGGGGTAGCCAAGGGCTATTCAGGCAGACATCAAGGTGACTGGTGGTGGAACGATGTAGTCCAAGGAAAAGTGGAGGCGAAGAAGGCGGCGTTTGCTAAGTTGGCAGGGAGCTCAAGCGAGGAAGATAGGAGAGTCAACAGGGAGAACTACAAGGTGGCGAGGAAGGAAGCGAAGCTGGCGGTCACGGAAGCAAAAAATGCGGCGTTTGGTCGCATGTACGAGGAATTGGGGGAGAAAGGCGGGGACAGGAAGTTATTCAGGTTGGCTAAAGTGAGGGAGAGGAAGGCGCGGGATCTAGACCAAGTTAGGTGCATCAAGGACGAGGATGGTAGAGTTCTGATGGGGGAGTCTCAAGTCAAGCAGAGGTGGCAGGCGTACTTTCGAGACCTGCTTAACGAGGAGGGGGATCGAGACGTAGTGCTAGGGGAGTTGGGGAATTCAGAGTGTCATAGAGACCTTGGGTACTGCAGGCGCATTAGGGTGGAGGAGGTCGTGGGGGCTTTGCGTAGGATGAGTAGGGGTCGAGCGACCGGGCCAGACGAAACCCCGGTGGAGTTCTGGAAATGCATAGGTAGGCCAGGAGTAGAGTGGCTGTCCAGGTTGTTCAATGTGATCTTCAGGACTAAGAGGATGCCGGAGGAGTGGAGGTGGAGTACAGTGGTGCCCGTGTATAAGAACAAAGGGGATATCCAGTGTTGTAACAACTATAGGGGTATCAAATTACTAAGCCACACCATGAAAGTCTGGGAGCGGGTGGTTGAGGCGAGGGTGAGGGAGATGACGTCTATATCCGTGAACCAGTTCGGTTTCATGCCGGGCCGCTCCACTACAGAAGCTATCCACCTTGTCAGGAGATTGGTGGAACACTTCAGGGATAAGAAGAAGGACCTGCACATGGTGTTTATCGACTTGGAGAAGGCGTACGACAAGGTCCCAAGGGAGGTGCTATGGAGGTGTCTGGAGGCGAAGAGCGTGCCGGAAGCCTACATCAGAGTGATCAAGGACATGTACGATGGAGCTAAGACTAGGGTTAGGACGGTGGGTGGCGACTCAGACCATTTCCCGGTGGTAATGGGGCTTCATCAAGGATCTGCACTTAGCCCTCTCTTATTTGCTTTGGTGATGGATGCTATAACACGCCATATTCAAGGGGATGTGCCATGGTGTATGCTATTTGCTGATGACATAGTCCTGATAGACGAGACGAGGGTCGGTGTTAACGAGAGGTTGGAGGTCTGGAGACAGACTCTCGAGTCCAAGGGTTTCAAACTAAGCAGGGCTAAGACAGAGTACCTGGAGTGCAAGTTTAGCGCCGAGCCGAGCGAAGTAGGCAGGGACGTCAAGCTTGGATCTCAGGTCATCGCCAAGAGGGACAGTTTCAGATATCTTGGGTCGGTGATTCAGGGGGACGGAGAGATCGACGGGGATGTCACTCACCGTATAGGGGCGGGGTGGTCGAAATGGAGGCTTGCATCAGGAGTCTTGTGTGACAAGAAAGTGCCACAGAAACTCAAGGGGAAGTTTTATAGAGCTGTGGTTAGACCTGCCATGTTGTATGGGGCTGAGTGCTGGCCGGTGAAGAACTCCCATGTCCAGAGAATGAAGGTTGCGGAGATGAGGATGCTCAGGTGGATGTGCGGGCTCACCAGGTTAGATAAGATTAGGAATGAAGTTATTCGGGAGAAGGTGGGGGTGGCCCCAGTAGATGAGAAGATGCGGGAAGCGAGGCTCAGGTGGTACGGGCATGTGCGGAGGAGAAGCCCCGATGCCCCGGTGAGGAGTTGTGAGCGGCTGGCGGTGGTTGGCGCGAGTCGAGGCAGAGGGAGGCCCAAGAGGTATTGGGGAGAGGTGATTAGGCAGGACATGGCTAGAATGCGGATTTCCGAGGACATGGCCCTTGATAGGAAAGTCTGGAGGTCTAGTATCAGGGTTGTAGGATAGGGGCTTCTAGAATTTTTCGTACTTCTGTCCCGGGGCTGGGGGTTGGTAGGGCTCTCCATAGATGATCTGTGTATTGTATTGTGCCCCCTTATGGTAGTTACTGGTCGATATATTTGCATGCCATCTTATTTATGGTTTATGTTTAGATAATTATTTATGTGATTTTTGTTGGAGTTACTAATGCTCTTTTGCTTTTTGCTTTTTGTTTTTTGTTTTTTGTTTTTGTTTTCCTTTTCCTGAGTCGAGGGTCGATTGGAAACAGCCTCTCTGCCCTTTCGGGTAGGGGTAAGGCCTGTGTACGTATTACCCTCCCCAGACCCCACCTTCTGGGACTATACTGGGTAGTTGTTGTTGTTGTTGTTGATGGTCAACCCAATAAACAGAGTGAGAGAGAGAGAGAGAACTGGTCGAGAGCCCCCCTATTTAAAACAAAAATTAACTAAACAGTGTGTAATTCATCCTATAATCTGAATATGGGTTGCTAATATTCTCACGGTTCACAATGACAAAATGATCATATAAGCAGAATTTTTCTCGAAAGAAGTTCCTCATATTTGCATCAGAGAAGAAAGAAAAACCATGGTAGTATGTAACATGAACCAGTGGTGCGCTAACTCCAAATACATAGGGAGACGAAATATTAGATGCTGTACTCTACACTTCAGAGAAGTAAGATATTTACTAGCTAACAAAATATCACCCTTTTTCTTTCAGTAGCGATAGACTGAAAATACGGGAGAAAATGGAATGGTCCAGCTCATTTGAAAAGCCAATAACAGATATTCGAAGATATTGTTAGAGTTCAGCCACAAGAAATATACAGGAAAAAAGAGAAGAGTGAAAAGCCCTTACAAGTACACAAGGGTCCCAAGCAGTTTTATTTGAATCAGAGGATGCAGCCTCGGCCATCCCTGTGGGAGGCCCAAGAAAGCTCTCACAAACTTCTCTCAAGCGTGACTCATCAGCCTCTCTGCATTTAAATATGTGTTATTTTGATACTAATTCAAATAAGGTGGAAACTCACCTCTAACAAATACCAATAAAAACAATTTCGCACTACTCCAAACACATGTTGACCCAAGATATACCAACACCAGAAGCAAAAGCCTAAAGTCAAACAAGACTGTTTCTCCACACGTAACTTCACTTCAAAAAAAATTAACAATAAAATTGAATTAACAGAACATTAAGTGAATATACATAGGGTTTCATATATACCAGAACTAATTAAACCATGAAACTTCAGATATAAATATAGCACCATTCAAGATCCAAATAGTCAGTTCTTAGAACTTATATTTCTTAAACTGGAACAACTGATTTCTCTAGATCAAACCCTGTCAACTGTGGAGGCAAATCAATTTCCACGGAATCAAAAGTTGCTTGCATCGCACATATCCTCCTCCATATAGCACTAAGGAATCGATTTGCAACTCTCATCTTAAATAATGGGCCAACTTTAAACTTAGACATTATACTTTAAAGGACATAGTTCCAACATCAACCAATGCATAAAAATTGGATATCAAGTGAAAGATTTCATGTCACCAAAGGACTAGACACCAGACCTTGCTAAAAACCGGATGTAGGATAAAAGGCATTGACGATATTCACTAGGAGACTTCAAAGCAAGAGCAGAAGCCAACTGAGCCTCCAAATGAGCACGTGTTTGTACCCCATCATCTGTGACTCTGCAGATGTACAACAAAGAAAAGTCAATATTTTACTTGCACATACTTCAGTAAAAGAGAATTCCAAAATAAAATTAGGCAAGAAACTTGCACATACATCCCAATTGTAATGTTATTCCAACTGCAAAAGTCACTCTACTACTAGAAACATTTCAATATGCTAATATACTGGGATACAGACTAAATAATCATTAGTACACCCAACATCTCTTGGGACATTCTAGTAAGCAATATCTAAGAGGAACAACAAAATTTCAAGAATAAAAAAGCAGAAAATGTTGAAGGCTAGTGACAGAACATAATGTGGATGATCTGTCAGACAAACCAAAACGAAAGGAAATGCAGAATGACCTGCTCCAACCGGGTCTCCTAGCCAGGAACTTCCTAACATCCACCTGCAATGCCGCTAGCTCACCACCATGCAACGAGCCCGAACTCCAGGAGCTTGAAAAATTCGATGCAGGAAAACAATCATCTGCAACCCTCAGCCAGCACATGAGGCTCATATCAAAGAGGTATGCATGCCGTGTGGCCAGGACAACAAGAGGAGAACCAGACTTTGATAATTTTGCTGATATCACTTTGATTGTGCCTGTTAACAAGTTTTAAATTTTAAAAAAAAAAAGTTAATAAGAAATGAAAGCCAGCAAAGACAGTGGAATCTGTTGTTTTAACAAAATATCAATGATTGCTGCTCTTAATAAACATCATATCAATTAGCAGGTTGTGTGGAGCCAAGTAATTTCCCTTGAACTTTTGAGAGCAACTAACTTCAGGACGGTGCTTAAAAGAGGAAGAACACAGTTCTCCGCGACAATGCTTAAAAAAGAAAGAAGTCAAGAACACTATGCTCTGCTCGAAGAATCAAAAATTTCATCTTGGGTTTTCTCACTCACCTGCATTCGCCTTTGGATCTGAAGCCAAAAGGGAAGCCAATGAGTCTTGAAGGAGACACTTCCGATTAAATAGATCCCATAGATATAATGACCCTTTCCTTGTGACAAGCAAAAACTTCCAAGATTCATCACAATCAACAAATACTGCAGCAGATCCCATCATCATGGTCGGCATGGCACGTCGTCCACACTTCGTATAAATCTTTTTACAAGCAAAGATGAGAATAAGAAAATAGTGTACCATTGGAAGAATACTTGACGTTAGAAAGCAAATACGGGAAACGTCAGATCTGTAATTTGATGTGACTTTCTTCGTCCTCAAATCAACCTTGAGCTTCATAGATTTAATACTAATACCAATCTATAGTTTATGCATATAATCCCCCCAACGCAATTTAAGAGACAGAATTTCGATGAACACGTAAAGAGTCTGACATAAAGCAAATATAATAAAAAATGCCAAGTTCAGATGAGAAAAATTTAACATAACCTTTGATAAAGAAAAATTTAACATTATTATTTAGAAAACTGTGCACTACTGGTTGATGCAGAAAACTACATATCTGATATCCCTATCTGATAGAAAACTAAAACTTGTATTCTTCCTGTAAGTAGGAGAAAGCATTGATCAGTCCACGTAACATCTCAATATGCAAGCAATGGTCAATTAATATTCTTTTGTTGTCAACATCAATTGATCTCCTTGGAAATATGAGAATGGAATTGAATGGGGGATAGAATCTTCAAGCTAAAAAATGGCACTCCCTCCTTCCCAATTTATGTGGCATACTTTCCTTTTAGTCTGTCCTAGAAAGAAAGCCATACTTTCTTATTTAGAAACAATTTTAGTTTAAACTTCCCAGTTTAGCCACAAAATGTCTATGGCTTGAGCACATGTTTCAAAATTCTTTCTTTTTTTCTTGAACTCCATGCCCCGTCAAACACCGCCGCATAAATCGGGACGGAGGGAGTAGCACATATTGGGAAACACTGAACCTAAATCATGTAAAATGTGATGGCAGCCATGGACAAAAATGAAAAGAAGGGAAGCCTACATAGAAATATAAACATTCTTCTCTCTCTTCTACAATCAGCAAAAATGCAGGTAAAGGCTTTGGATGACAAAATTTTAGCTCAACAAATGAATCGCGGTATTCAAGCATGCTCAGATCAATTATGCATAACACCAGGCAAGAAAGTACGAGTGCTCACCTAGGCAAAGAGAATTGACAAAAAATGAGGATAAATTCTGAAAAAAAAAAGGGCTTGAAAAGGGAGCCATCCTCAAGTCTAAAGTGTGAAATGATACAATTTACATCACCCCCCAACTCTACCTCTCATCTTGGCAAGGAGGGGAGAATTCTCATGTTAGGTAGTCCTGGAAATAAACAGGTAAAATAGAATCTATACATTCACTCTCTCATTTTACGTGTCTGGGAGAGGTGCTTATTTAGTCTCTAGATGATCAACACACAGAAGCAGGAGATAACCAAAGAATTGAGTAGAAATAAAAGAAGCAGATTCACATCTCAGTAATTGTCGAAATGATGTTGTACAGAAAATAGTATAATGAACCAGCTCAAAGTTTTTGAAACTCACCTGAACGCATCCATCTTCACATCCCACAGCCCAAAAGTTGGCATTTCCAGCCAAAACAGTAACTTTTCCAGAAATCCGGTCAGACCAGAGGGTTTGACTCCCCCTTGTACAAAGTATCTCAGTTTCTTTCATTACAAATGAATTTCCTGCCCCTAAAATATCATTAGCAGCTTGTTCTCTGGGTTGAGCCTCTAAGCAAATTGGACCAGTGTCCTCCCCTTCTTTATTATCAAAAACCCTGATTAAAAGAGTACCACCAGAACCCAAATGAGACAGATCCTTGATGATTCCCATCTGTTCTATGGTGATGTTTCCATCCTTGCCTACAGAAGGCGGAACCTTCTCAATGATGAGGCTCTCACTGATGGTAGCTCTAGCAGTTACACCTGAGCGCTCCTTTTGGTCAGGACTGAGACCAACTGTTTTCCTTACAAATCCTTCCCTAACACTTGCATCGGACAGTACCATACCATTCTCATCTTTCCTCTGATCCACTGTCTTATTAGGGAATTCAATAGTAGGAGATTGAGGAATTCCGGAGATGTTCTCCTGCTGGGTAGGCACACCAACTGCTTCTGGAATTATCCTCTTTCGACCATCGGGCCGTCTGTACTCTCTTTGCTTCACGGGACTTGACATGCGGGTAGAAGCTGCGGGTTTATTTAAACTATCGCTGCTAACTCCTTCGGTCTTTTTCCCGTTATCAGATTGTGGCTTGGGAACCTTCACCACACTCACCAAATCAACAGAAGATTTTGAGGTTGCTTGAACTTGTGTAAGATCCTTAGTTATTTTTTTGCTTGAACTTTGCTTTGCAGCTGCTGCTTCAAGCAATAGTTGCGCTGGACTTTCGGCTAAATTTGCCTGTCGACCTCTAACATCACCATAGCGGCTTCTCTTCAGCTCCTCTAATTCAGCATCAGATAACCGAACGCCTAGTTCATTCCCATCAAAATGGAAAGTGGCTACACTTCCATCCAAAGAACATGCAAAGAGTGAATATCCATCAGGGCTCCTGCACATAGAAAATAATATCCTGAAAGTAAGCAAAAAAGGTAGAAAGAAAATTCAAGATAGAAAATGCCTTCACTGTTGTGAAAGGACGAAGTTTTTGATGCTATGAGCTAACTTACCATGATAAATCCACAACACTTTGAGAAAAGAAATGTTTAGCGACAAAAAGAGGACGTGGACTTGCTGTTGTCCACACAGTTATAGTGCGATCTTGACTTCCTATAGCAATAACATTGTAGGGTTGGGACTCTTTTCCTCCATTTTTTGAAGAACCATTTGACCATCCAAGAGACGCATTTTTCACTTCCTGCGCATTAGCCAAATTCCTCCGAAACATAGAATGATTAAACTTAACCACAATAACAGGAGCATTGTGTCCTAAGAAATCAAAAGTGGCAGACCATTCCCCTCTCTCCAGAACAGGAGCAGAATGCCTAGGCTTTTGAAAACCATGAGTAGTAGTTATATAGTGTCCACAGGGTGACCATCCAAGCCGCCTAAAGAAGGTTGACCCAAGCTTAAAAAAAAAAGACACATTTGTAAGGATATAGGTTTCAGTATTTGGGGGGAAAAAAGAACAAAGAAATTTTTTTGAGAGTAAATCTGAAACTCACAGATTTTGCCCAGTGACCTTCAGTTCTATGAGCAAGGCTCCAGTCACTTGTTCGCCAAATGATGACAGTCTTATCATCTGATTGACTAGCTATAAAAGAACCAATCGGATCCCATGTGACACCTTTAACAAGACTGGAGTGACCCCTCAGAACTGCAGTGCATATACCATTGCTCATACTCCAGATATGGATGGTGTTGTCGAGACTACCACTAGCCAATGTCGAGTCATCTGGGGACCAATTTAGATCCACCTACTTTAAACACGGAAAGAGCAATTAGAAAGTACATGGTTAGACAACATAGGCATCTAAAGAGGAGATTCAGAATCAAGTATGAATTCAAATAATTTCAAGGTCCATCAATTGATTGGCATAGCAAAAAAAATAGTTATTGAGAATCTAAGATCAGTCACATTACCACATCTGCAGTGTGTCCTCTCAAAGTCATAGTAACTTTCCAATTCTCTACATCAGGGGGCTCTCCACTGCCAAACTCTGTGGTTCCTGAGCCAGGTTTCCTCTCATGGACTAGAATTACCTGATCATCAGAGCCAGAAGCAACATATCGACCATGTTTTGCCCATCTAACACAGTTCACCGACCCAAAATGATCGCGTAGTGTGGCAAGAAGTTTCGGTGTAGATTCATCTGCTTCCAAGTCCCTACCCACACATTTCATGTTCCATATCCTAACCTGAAGACACGTTAAATGTACATTATGCAAAGTACTATATTTAGTAACAGTAAACAGCAAAACATAGACAAGAATCAAGATAAAAGCTTCTCACTCCAAAATAACCTTTGATTGCTACTTTATCTTTTAACTCCCAAACAAACAATAACATGTTATTGGTCCATCAAAAAATGAACTGCTTGAATTTTATTACCAACTTCAATTATTCAGGTCCCAAAATCCATGAGCAACTCTTAAAAGTCCATCAACTACTTAAACTGTTAGTTCAGGTCCCAAAAGTTTATGCGACACTGTTTCCTTATTAGTATGTTCCTAAAAGAATGATGCTTCTATATTTGAAAATAACTTAACTTGAAACTTCTCAGTTCACCCTTAATGAAAAGTTCTCATGGTCCCACAAATGTTATGGTATGTTTAAGAATACAAGTTTCAAAAGTCTTCGTAAATTGGGACGTCAGGAGTACTAATTTCTTCACTAAACCTATACATTGACCAAAAGGTAATGAAGGCAGACAATATAAAACAAGAATATATTGGTAAAGAGTGAAAAAGCAATTACCTTGTGATCACCACCACCAGTGGCAAACCTAAGGCCACCAGGCTGAATATCAATAGAGAAAATCTGCATACCCTCATGTCTAATCCAACTGGGTTTCTCAGCAATCATCTTAACCACAATTTTTTATCTTAGTTTAACTGATACAGAATAAAGACTCAACCTTTTTCACTCTAAACCCTTCAAACCCCAACAAGAACCCCACAACTTAAAAATTAACATACCAACTAGTAAATAAGAAGAAAAACCCCAAAATCAAATACAACAAAAAATTTACCCCCCAAGAAAAAAAAAATAGTGAAGAGGTAACCCTAGTTGATAAAATTAGGAATAAGAAGGAAAAAAATCCCCAAAAAGGAGTAAAAGGGGAAAAATATCTTGATTTATTGAGTTAAAAAAAAAAAGCCCTAGAATGGAAGTAACAGGTGAAGTGGGTCGAAGTGTTTATGCAAATTTCTTGGTTATATGTTTTTTACCTTTGTTTTGGTTAACTGTCAAATCTAATGAAAGATTGGAGAGGGGAAAAGGACTGCAAAAAAGAAAAAACAAAAGAAAGAATGATTAAGGAAAACAAAACGAATCTTAAAATATGTGTTCTAATCTAAGTACACTATGAGTCTTATATAAAACAGAAGAGAAAAGAAGTGAAGTGTGTAGCATGTATTGTGTAGGGTAAAAACTCAGAAGAAATACAAGAGAGGCATAAGAGGATTTGTAATGTGTAGTAGTGGTATTGTGCACATAAAGTTATGTCAAGATTGGATTTTGCATAAGAAATTCCACTTTGCTAATATGAGGGGGAAAGTTGGTTTTTATGTTCTCTTTTTCCTTAAAGTGTACCAAAATAATGTTTTACGTTGAGAATTAAGAGAGTGGGTATTATGCAATAAGAATACTAATTAGTCGGACCCCAAGTGAATATAATATAAATGAAACACTTTAAATACTTTACCAGGGAATACTACCGTTATTAAGAAGATTGAACCTAATTATAATAGTAGGGAAGAAGTTATTTAAATTGGAATCATGCGGTGGTATTTGAATCAACTTAAGTGCATCTCGATTAATTCATGCCTAATATCTTCTTTGGCTAATATAAGTATCGAAAAATTATATCCATGAAAACTCAGAATACTCAAAAAATATCGCCTAATTTGTTTTTATTTTTTTCTAAAATTTGAATATTAAGTTTTCGTAGTATTTTTCCACTTCACTAAGCACTAAGTCACACCCTACAGTGTAATTAGAATTCACGATATTGCAATTTGAATTATAGCTAACTTTTGGACAGCAAACAGTCCACTAGAAACATGCTATCATGAATTAGTTGATAACACCCACTTATTTCTTCTTCTTTTTTGTTCTTTTCTTCTCTTTTTTTTTTTTTTTTTTTTTTTTTTTTTGAAGGGGGTGGGGGGGTGGTGTGGGGTTTTGAAAAACTCCTCATACATGTTTTTTACAGGGTAAGTAGGATTCACTAAAGAAACGAGATAAGGTCCTCTAAATCTTAAACATTATCATTCTGGCACTCATGTTAAATATGCCCTTTCGAATATAACCCTTTTTCTTCTTCTTTTTTTCTCTTTTAATTTTTTTTTTTTTTTTTTTGGACTTCTCAGGTGATGTGTCTTTCTTTTTGGCAAAGGCCCTCTATTATATTCAGCCACACTATATTTTAACTAAGTTACAAATTTTCAGTTAAGTGTTGCATCAAAACCTTTATTATATATATATATATATTTCAAAATTACTTGTAAAGTACTGTAAAAATTAACCAAAAAAAACTTCTATTAGATGGAAAATGAAAGTAACTTGAAAAAATCAAATCTTTTCCAGTTATATATCTTTTTCCAGCATTTCTCATATTCTTTTGTCTTTCTCTTTTATAGGGTAAAATTAAAACTAAAATTCATGATTAATGAATAATGATTAAATATTGAGAGATTATATAATTCAAGATCCTAATGTGATGACCCTAAAGGTCATCTCTTGTTTTAGAAGTCAAAACTGTGTTTCGAGGCCTTAAAAACTTCTTTTTGTCTCACCTCGATTTGCGTGCGCAATCTGGGCGTATTTCCGGAAAGCTTTTATGTGAAATTTAAGAAAAATAATGAATTTGGCCTTTTAAATTTATTAAAGTTGACTTTGGTCAACATTCTTGGTAAAGGACCCCCCCCCCCCCCGATGATTTGACGGTCCCATAGGGTCCGTAGTAAAATATGGGACTTGGGCGTATGCTCGGAATCAAATTCTGAGATCCCTAGCCCGAGAAAAGAATTTTTAAAGAAAATTATTTGCTGGAAAATATAAAGGCTTTTTGAAATGAAATGATGCGTGTTCTTGATGGTATTGGGCCCGTATGTTGGTTCCGGAGCCCGGTACGGATTTAAAATAATAAATAAGTCGAATCTGTGAAATTCGGTAAGAATCGGAGTTGATTTGGTATAAATCGGACCTTTAGTTGAGAAAATAGAAATTTCATGAATTTTAGGTTGAATTCGTAGTTGTTGATGTTATTTTGATGTTTTTAGACTTGTGTGCATGTTTGGTTTGGAGCCCCGAGGGCTCGGGTGAGTTTTGGATAGGCTACGGGGTATTTTGGATTTAGGAAAAATTGTTGCAGGTTTTAGTTCTAGTATTGGCCTCTGATCTCGCAATTGCGAGATCAGGGATCGCAATTGTGAAGTATGTCAGTGTGGTAATTGCGAGGGGACGATCGCAATTGCGAAATATGCTCTGGCCAGCCTTGCTCGCATTTGCGAGCATTTCTTCGCAAATGCGAAGTTCTCAGTAATTCCCAGTAGTCGCAATTGCGGAGATAGCTGAAATTCCCAGGGTTCACAATTGCGAACCCCTGATCGCAATTGCGACATCTGTGACCTGTTAAGTGGAATTTTGACGGGATTCTTCTTCATTTTACAACTTTTTCAAAACCTAAACTCCTAAGGGCGATTTTCCAAGAGCAAGTTCTTCCCTAAATCATAGGTAAACGATTTCTAACTTATTTTCTTCAATCTATCACATTTTTTTTACATGATTTCACTTCAAAATCTAGGGTTTTTCATGGGAAATTGGGTGTTTTTGGGTAGAAGTTAGGATTTTCAAATTTTGGGGATTTGGACCTCAATTTGAGGTCCGATTTCAAAACTAATTGCATATTTGAGTTCGTGAGTGAATGGGTGATCGGATTTTTGTTCGAACTTCGGGTTTTGACAAGCGGGCCCGGGGTCGGGTTTTGACTTTTTGGGGAAATCATTGGGAAATCTATTTTCATGCATTAGAATTGGTTTATTTAGCATTTGATGTTATTAAGTAAATTATGACTAGATACACGCGAATTGAAAGTGGAACCGAGAGGTAAAGCGGTAGTTGAGGCTTAATCTTGTCCGTGGAATCGAGGTAAGTGTTTGGCTTAACCTTAGCTAGAGAGAATAGGAGTAGTGGTCTTATATGCTATGTGTTAGTATGAGTACGACGTATAGGTGTGGTGACAAGTATCTATACGTTGGTGTCAATCATGCTTGTGAGTCTTATATCATGATGTTTGTGGTTTTATTATGTATCGATCTTGCTCAAACTGATGATTATTAATGTTGAACAAAGCATATGAAAGTTTCTTGGTAATTGACTATTGTTGAGTATTGGCTCAAGTTGAGTTTCATTTTATAAAGTAATTGTTGAAAACGAGATTGGTTATAGATGAATCCCTTGTCGGGATGTTATTGTTGACATTATTGTTTCCCTTGCCGGGATGTTATTGTTGATACTGTTGATTCCCTTGCCGGGACGTATTGTTTCTAGTGTTTGGGTGAGGAAGAGTTTAAAGCACGAACGGTGATGTCGTGCATGGTATTGTGAGTGAGTGTAATGCATGAAGGGTGATGCCATGCCGATATTGTGAGTGTTAATGCACGAAGGGTGATGCCGTGCCATGATTTGAGAGTTAATACACGAAGGGTGATGCCGTGCCGATATTGTGAGGAATAATGCACGAAGGGTGATGTCGTGCCATGATTTTGAGAGGTATGCACGAAGTGTGATGCCGTGTCGTTTCTGTTGTTTCATATGGTGAGGATGAGAGTAAAAGCACGAAGGGTGATGTCGTGCATGTGTTACCGTTTCATTATTCTTGTTGATATAGATATGATGTTCATTATGCTTCCTTATTGGTTTATTGTTAGAGTCTGATATTTCCCGCAGCATGTCCCCTTCCCGCCTTATTCTGTTGATTTATGTTTGTATATGATTTAACTGCACAGGTATATATGATTGTCGTGTCCTAGCCTCGTCACTACTTCGCCGAGGTTAGGCTCGACACCTACTCAGTACATGTGGTCGGTTATACTGATGCTACACTCTGCACTATTTTGTGCAGATTTCGGTACCGGACCCAGTGAGTAGCTGAGGTAGCTGCCTTCAGTCCAGGGAGACCAAGGTAGATCTGCTAGCGTCCGCAGAGCCTAAAGTCCCCCTTCCTTGTTTTAGCTTTCTGCTGTCTCTTTTCATTCCGAGAACAGTTGTACTTTTCTTTTCAGACTAGTATTTGTAGAAATTCGTAGTGTTCGTGAATTTGTGACACCAGATTCGTGGGTAGACATGTATTGGAGTACTTGGATTTATTTTAACTCTTCCGCGCTTTTCATTTGTTTAGCTATAGTTACTGTTTATAATTGTTTGGGTTGATTGATAATGTGTAGAACCTTAATAGTTGGCTTGCCTAGTTTTCACGAGTAGGCGCCATCACAACTCCCGAGGGTGAGAAATCCGAGTCGTGACAAGTTGGTATCAGAGCACTAGGTTGCCTAGGTCTCACAATTCACGAACAAGCTAGGTAAAGTTTGAGGGATCGGTACGGAGACGTCTGTGCTTATCCCCCAGAGGCTACAGAGTTTAGGAATAACTTCACATCTATTCTCCTCTGTCGTGTGATTTGACTTCTCAATGCTAATTGAACTTCTACTCTGTTCTTTCGCAGATGGCGAGAACACGTGCTTCTTCATCCACTGATCAGCAGCCCGAGCCCCCAGTGGCAGCTCCTACGAGGGGTAGAGGATGAGGCCGAGGCTGTGCTAGAGGCCGAGGTAGGGGCAGGGCTCAGCCCAGGGCAGCAGCACCAGCGGCGGAGCCTCAGGTAGAGTTTGAGGAGGAGGCTCCAGCCTAGACCGTTCCAGCAGGGCTAGCTCAGGTCCCAGACGGGGTTCATCGCTACCCCGGTTCTCCAGCATGCTCTGGTCCGTCTAGTGGGCCTTGTGGAGAGTGTCGCCCAGGCAGGCTTACTTCCTGTAGCACCAGTCGTCTCTCGGGCTGGGGGAGGAGCACAGACTCCCGCTACTCGCACTCCGGTGCAGATGGCTCCTCAGTTTCAGACTCCAGCAGCTCAGCCAGTTGGAGTAGTTCAGTCGGGTGTGGTAGCTCAGACCGGTGATGGAACAACTATGTCTGATGATGCTTTGTGGAGGTTGGACAGGTTCACCAAGCTATTCACTACTACTTATGGTGGTACATCCTCAGAGGATCCCCAGGACTATTTGGACAGCTGTCACGAGGTTCTTTGGAACATGGGGATAGTGGAGACCAATGGGGTCGACTTTACTGCTTTTCGTCTGTCAGGTTCCACCAAGATTTGGTGGAGGGACTATTGTTTGGTTAGACCAGCTGGGTCACCGGCTTTGACTTGGGATCAGTTCTCTCAGCTATTTCTGGAGAAGTTTCTTCCTATCACTCAGAGGGAGGACTATCGGAGGCAGTTTGAGCGTCTCCAGTAGGGTTCTATG